TATAGATAGGATTGTTATTTTGATTTGAGTTTTCTTCTTCTACTACTCTACAATCCTTTCTTAGATATGTAAGCATTTCATCTTTATAAGCTAGTCCTTGTTTGTTTTTGATGAAGTTAAAAAAATTAATTAAAAAAAGTTAATTTACGCACTAATACCAAACCCATAAACTTCTTCGATTCTTAAAAAATAAAGGAAAAAAATGACACAAATGTTATGTGAGTTAAAAAATTTGATGGGGGTTAGTGTAATTATATAAAAAGGGTGAGGTTAACTGTATATTTTTTCAAATTCAAGGGAGGTGAGTGTAATTCACCCAAGAAAAATAAAATAAAATTGAACAACTATATTTTTGAAACAGACTATTCATTTTATTTATTTATTTATTATGACAAACTCGATAAATTGAATAGGTTAATATTATTGGATCAATCTAATTTTTTGTATGTATAATATTCACGAAGTGTTTGACAAAATAAACGGTTCAGATTATCAAAACGAAATCTATGGTGAACCCCATAGGTCCGAACAACACCATCCAATTTAGATTATGGTGAGTGCGATTCACCAAAAAAATGAATGACAATTGTATTTTTGAAATAAACAATTCATTTTATATATTTATTTATTGTGATAAACGTAATACATTAAATATACTATGATTATTGAATTAATCTAATTTATTATGTGAATAATATATACAAAGTATTCGACAAAATAAATAATTCAAATTATGGAAACATAAGTTATGATAAACCCCACCATCCTGAATAATGCCGTCCATTTCATATTATTAACTAATGAAAATCCAACTCCTTTTCAAAATATTTTTATAATATACATGGCAACTAATTAATGAGACGGATGCTTACACGTTATTGTTATTTATCTTTTATTGGGACCTACTTATGAGGTATTAGCTTACTTGCTTGAGAGACCTCTACTACTTCACTAGCTAATGTTAGATGTAAGACCTAAAACAAGGCTCAACCTATGACCCACACTGTTCAAAAAAAAAACCTATGACCCACCCATCATTAAGCTGATCAGTTATCTAAGTAAAACACATATTTTTATTAGTTTAAAATTATTTAAATCATAAATTTTGGTGAATCAATACAATTTTTTGTATTCACAAAAGTAAAATTTTTGATATTGTCTTTGTCGACACTATCCTAAAGTCGATGGTAAGCAGAGGCTTTAGGTTTCAACTCTTTTAAAGGGAGTTGAATTAAGGAGACAAATATTATATGGGTGGTTTGAGATGATCTAAATAAGTGTACTTTTTGACTTTTTGTGAAATATGGATTGAGTATGGGTTGGGTTTGAAGTAATATGGTAGAAATGTGATGTAACTTAAATAGTGTAGACGTCCCCGAACATCCCGGGAGGGAAATCTCCCCCGGAGGGAAATCTCCCCCCCTCCCCCGTTTTGTTCATATGGGCTCACTACAGTTCAGGACTCAATGTCATGGTCCTGTATCTAATCTCGCAGAGTGCAATGCAAGACCGATGAAATCATCAAAGAGTCCAAATCCGGCAAATCGTTTTTGAAAACAGATTTTTTGAAAGAAATGCCAAACATAGACTGCTTTGCCAGATACAGAGTCGCCACCTAAATATTTTATTTTGGGGAAATTTAGGAAACCCTGACTCGTTGCCTAAGGCCACGTGTCCGTCATCACCAAAGTTGCCTCGGCTCGGGAACTTGGGTACAATTGGGGAAAGAAGGTCAACTTCATGAACCCCCGCTCGCCCGATCAAAGATCGGCCTCTACTAACCACAGAATTCTAGTTTTAAAAACATTATGCATTCTTATTCCGGTTATTAGCCTAGATTTACTATTGAATGCGCACAGCATACAAGTATAGACTGGATCGCCTGAATTGGAACAAAACATCTCATGTTTGTTTATTTGAAAATGGTTTGATGGTGCTACTCGTAAGTAGGCTAAGACGGATTTGCCACCCTCAGGTGGGCTTAGAAAAAATATTTTGCCACTCTCAAGTGGGCTTAAAACTCACAGTCAATGAATTGTTCCAATACAAATAACCCAACCTTCACCCACAGGCATTCACGCAGGTATATCACATAAGCGATTAGCCTCATAGTAAGCATGCTATCATGCAGTCACTCACACGCATGCAAGGATGCTAAGCATAAAACTTACCGAGTACTCAACAGCCATACATGTCCTAACTAATACAGAATGTTAATACAACACATGCAAAAATGCAACTACAGTAGGCTCGGCTATTCTACAATGGCATGTGAAATGCTACAACTAACACATATTCAACTCGGAATTAAATACAAATGCATTAGTATGATGCGCCGAGCCTGCATCAAGAATAGTAAATGTAATCAAAGCATACTATCATATTGTATACTAATTAGAAACATGCCCTAATCTAAACCATCATAAGCTGGTAAATAAAATGGAGAAATGTGGTTGGAAGACATACAACACGCTTACCGGAACGCAACATCTATAATCACATATCTTATCAAACCGCTCACATACAGTAGTGAGCTACCAAAAAAAATATCTTCGCCAAAAAGCCGAAAAATAATACAGGGAAGTCCGAAAAGAAAAAATAAAACCCTTAATATTACAAAAAAAATCCCAACTCACGTTAATCTTATATAACCAAATTAAAACCCGAGAAAGCCAAAAAAACCCATCAGCAATTGACCAAGCGGCTAGGACTCGCACACAGCCATACCTCCAAACCCCCACTGGTTCGACAATGAACCTCGGACCATGCCCATCGCTTCGATTGCCCCCGCGCAAAGGAATACCATGCGAGGTAATAAGAGCCCCAGTTTTTGCCTTCTGTTTTGCCAATTAATTAATTCCCGAAAAATTCTAACCCCCCCCCGGCAAAGCTGCCCATCCCTAAATATACTCCTCTCTCTCG